GCTTTTATAAGTTTGTTGAACGTGCAGAGCTCTGTTGCAGATAAGCAACATTTCACCATTCCCTGTAGCTTAGCTAACTCGCCTATTAAAGCAGCGACATCGCTCTGAACCAATGATGATACTCAATATAGCGCGAAGCCCAGAGCGCTCATTCGAGACCTAACATACCTCAGACTCGGATGCTCGTAATGACTAGAAGAGAGTCACCGCACAGGAGTGCTAGCTACGGGAGGGTCGACTTCCGCTGGCAAGCTCGAAGAAAACCAGGCAGTTAATTTACGTAAAATGGAGGGTTGACCTCAGTTTAAATCTCCAATCCGGCAAAATTACCTAAATGCCGTGACTAGCGTAATCTTAACCTTTAACTCCCTTGAAGAAGAGGCAGGGTCACCTGACGCACCGCGCTACAGGCGGCCGACCTTGCGGTCAGAGATCCGCTTGTCGGTTACTGTTACAGCTGTCTCATGGCGATGAGCGGGGATGTTAATCAGAGTATTACCCTCGACGTTCGCGTGGTATCTTGTACTTTGCGAAGTCAAAAATGAGATAGCACTCTAGATAGACTTTCGCTCCATAGAAGCTGGTCTGTAACATCTTGGAACAAGTAAGGCTTCGTGTCTTCCTTATCTATAGCGCAAACGCAGTCTGATGCTCGGTGGCACTCTCACCAACTTTTAGTTCGCAAGGTTCATCGCTCATTGAGGTTTCGAATTCAACCGCTACTGCACCAATCACAGACAATACACATGAAGTCGCACGAGAAGAAAAATCTAGTAATGTCGTTTTTCAATGAGAGCATGATTGTAGTTCAATTTGCAATGTCTCTGTGAAAAATCATTTATAAAACGGTACAATTGTACGAAATTCTTGCAGAACAGTTGGTATATCTCACATATTTTTAAGTACCGAAATATCGGTATTAATGAGGAATTAGGAACTCGAAAGAGTCAGTATCCAGACGCATTCCAGAAAAACCGCCAATTTGTAATGGAGCAACGTGATCTGCATGTGTTTCCCAAGTCAATGCTTTTTATGCTGGCTACATACATTAAAGGCTCTTGACTCCACTCCTGATAATTCAATCTCTGCGCTTTTGTTAGCGCGGACTCTGAGAGTCAAAGCTCTCGGTTCAATGTGCACAGCAACCCCGTTGCAGAGAGACTTCAAAATAACGAAATTGTTAGAGCATATATTAACAACTCATACTATCTGGACGACTACTAAACATTTGTTTTTTTACCATAGCTTATAATCATCTTCTTGAATACAAAATGCACCAAAGTAAACAATAGTCCAATCTTCAAAGTATTGAAAATGCGTAGAGAACTCATCTTCCATGTGTTGGATAGCGCAAAGTCTAGGTGCCAGATTTTTCTCTATGCAAAGTGGACAATTGTCATATTGTACATAAGTAGTCTGACTCTCACCACCCACATATTTATTTTCATATTTAAAGACACTAGAATAGTTTTATATCTGACCAAAATGAGCATCAGTTCATTAGAATGTGTCTCCTTAGGACTTGTTTTAAGGAAAAGCCTCTTATTTTCTATGCCACTGAAAGAGATTTGCTGCACAACATACGCTACGTTTTTTATACAGGCAAATCTTTTTCTTTTCCTTATGGCTCGGTCTGACTGTT